ATTATTCCTAATTCAGCCGAGTCACCGTCATCATGATAGTTTTTTTGATGAGGATCGGAGTCGTTGTTCGGCTCTTCTCCCAGAAGTTGTCGCCAGCTACGACTTAGGTTTTTATTTTTATTTTTTTTAAACATGAGAACAATAAAACGTTTTAAGTCAAAAGTGTGATTGTGTTATTCATTCAATTGTGATCTTTTCTAACATATTAATTAATATCTTAAATTCCTGTTCAATTTTTAATTTCCATTTTACTTATAAATTCCAATCCAATAACAATGGTCTATAATCAATGTATAATTAATGTTTATTTAATGTTCAGCAAATCAACCAATGTTCAATCAATGTTCAATAATCAATGTATAATCAATGTTCATTCAATGTTCAATAATCGACTTTCAGCAATTAAATCAATGTTCAATAATCAACGTTCAGTAATCCAATCAATGTTCAATCAACGCTTGCATTTCTTTTTTATTTTTTTAATTACTGTGCAAACATGGAGCTATTGCAGTTGGGATTTGGTTTGACAGTTCGTCCACTTCGGGTTCTTGTTGGCTGAATCTGTGTTGGATTTTGTGGTAGTTCTTCACGAGGCTGAATTTGCATTTGTAGTTTTGGGTTGTGTATCGGCTGTGTGTCCTGGAATTGTAATGGTATATAAACAGTTTTTTGTATCGGCTTGTTTTCTGTTACAGGAAGCAGATATTTTCTGTTTCTTCTTATTTGCGTTTCACCGGTATTGACCATATATGATCTTGGCTGTTCAAGAATCTTGCTGATCGTTCCCAGGCGATCATGTCCTTTCTTTGTTCTTATTCGAACTTTCTGGTTTTGTTGGAGCGCTGGGAGTGCGCTTGCCTGTGCTTTTTTGTCATAGTAGCGCTTCTGTTAGTTTCTCTTCATTTCTAATTGATTTCTTACAACTTTTGTATTGATTGGTTTTGGTGTCTGTAAGAATTTGTTTGTGTAGAGAGGATTTCTAGTTGAATGTGATAGTAGTCTTTGTGCCGGTGATTTGAGAACATTATCTCTTGGCACATTGCGTAAGTTCAGAAGATTTTGATAGATATCTGATCCATCTCTTTGTGTCTTTTCTAACAACATCTTTGCCTGCTTTAATTACCGCATTCTCTGCAAGGCCATTTGATTGGGCATGTTCAGGACTACTCGTGATGTGAACAAAGTTCCATTCTGATGCGAACTGTTTGAATTGTTGACCTGAATACTGACCTCCATTGTCAGTTATGAGAATCCGTGGTGTACCATGGGTAGCAAAGTGACGCTTCAGTTTCACTATTACCGTGGCTGATGTTAAGTCAGTTAAAGTATTCACTTCAAACCATCCGGAATAGGAATCTACGAGTACCAGGAAATGCTTATTGTTCCACTCAAATATATCTGTGGCAACAATCGTCCATTGTAGATCTGGAATGTTATGTAAAAGTAAGGGCTCCTTGGCTTGATGTGACTTTAGGGCATTACATACCTGGCAGGATGACACAACATTTTTTATGTCATCGCACATTGATCTCCAATAGACAATTTCATGTGCTCTGCGTTTTGTAGCTTTTATTCCAGGATGTCCTTTGTGTAGTATTTGTGTATATGATGACTGGAGAGAGGTAGGAATTATGCTTTTATGTCCTTTCATAACTATTCCATTGTCTACTGAGAGTTCATCTCTGAAAGTAAAATAACTTCATATTTCTGAAGGGCACGACTTTGGAGTTTTTGGCCATCCCTTAAATATTGCGTTAATTAATATCTGTAGAGTGCGATCCTCTTTCGTTGCACTTCGCAGCTCTTCCTGTTTAGCATCAGAGATGTG